CTGAGGCTGGAGAGGGCTGGGCAGGAAGCCCCTCAGCCTGGCGGGTTTGCACCTCGCTCCTCGATCGGGCGCCCTTTAAAAGCAGGCGTTGCTCACCTCTCTCTTCCCCCCACACAGAGACCTGTGCCGTGAACAACGGGGGCTGTGACAGCAAGTGCCACGACGCAGCCACGGGGGTGCACTGCAGCTGCCCGATGGGCTTCATGCTGCAGCCGGACCGGAAAACCTGCAAAGGTAAGGGGCCAGCGCGCGAGGGCCTGGCAGCTGTGAGCCCAGCTTCTGCGGGGGCGCGTGGAGCCAACAGCTCTCCCTTGGGGGATTATTCTCTGCTGGGAGAAACTTGGCTTTGATCGCTTCGGGGGCACATCCAGCCTTGGCGAGAGCAGGCGGAACTCCCCGTGACGCGGATGGGAATAGGCCGGGTTTGGACACGGATGACTCCTTCGCTTGCTGCGACATCCCACAAGCCATTCCGGGTGGGTGCAGAAATCCAGGGCCATCTTTCCTATGAGCCCTACTTCATGGGGGCTCCTGCCTGGGAGAGTCTAGGAGTGCCCAGCTGCCCCGAGTGTGATCCCTGCATGATAGTGACATTCCTCCCCAGCTCTGCCTCTACAGGTTATTCTTCTGGGCTGGTTGTGCCCTGCTCTGTCCAGGGCCAGGGCTCTGGGAGAGTGGGGGGGGAGGGGGAGCTCCGAGGGCTCAATGCATGGAGAAATGTGTCAGTGGCCGTGGAATGGATAAGACAGCTGCTTATGTTTTAGCTGCGTAGAGCTAAGAGGCCATCTTCCTCTCTGCTTCCCGTCCCTCGCCCCCGCCCCATCAGCCCCACCACAACTGGCTCTGCAGCGTTCACTCTGGGATTAAACCCGTGTGGAAGAGCACTGCTGTTCCACGAGGGTACGTCTAGACGACAGGCTTTTGTCGACAGAGGCTTTGTCAACAGACACTGTCAACAAATCTTCTTTCGACAAAGAGGGTCTAGACTGCATCCAGTTCTGTCGACAAAGCAAGCCGCTTTGTCGACATGAGAGTGTAGACGCAAAGGACAGCGTAGATGCAATAACGCCTTCTGTCGACAGAACTCGTAGAACGAGGTTTACCGCCGTCGACACAGCTGCCGAGTTCTGTGGACGTTATGTCGACAGAACTCAGCGGTAGTATAGACGCAGGAATAGTTTTGGTGACAAAAGTCCACTTTTGTTGACCAAACTCTGTAGTCTAGACACGCCCTAAGTGTGCCCGGAGCCTGGGGCTGTCTCTGGAGGATTCTGGGCCAGGCAGGGCGCTGGCTTTTAAGAACAGAATTCTCAGTGGAGGTGGATCCTCGTGCATGGGTGGGTCACCTTTAGGTGCCACTTGCTAGACCGTGTGTTTGTGGTAGATCTCTACTGAGGTCCTGCCGCAATGGATGTTGTGTTAGATCCTACATGGGAGAGCTGAGCCTAGATACTACGGTGGTGGGCACCATGGCGTGTGCATGGATCGACAGTCTGGGGCTTAAGTGCCTCACTGCAGCAGGACTTCAGGCACAAACATTCACCTCCTCTGAGGCAGCCGAGGGGGGGTGTTCGCCCCCATCCCTGTGAAATCCAGGAGCAGGGGAAGGTTCGGTCAGCTGGCAATCACGCAGCCTGGCACCACAAACACTGTGGTGGGCTCGCCATTAGAGCAGAGCTCACTGTGCCCGGACTCCTGCATGCCACCCCCAGTGACTCACTGCTGGACTGTCCGCAGCTCAGCCTGTCTCGTCTCCCTCCCCTGTGAAATGGGGTTGAAACATCCTAGGAAGGCTCATGGGGAGGGCTGTTCTTATGATGAAACCCCTTGTCCCATTATCCCAGCGTCAGTGTGGATGTAATGTTTGCCCAAGTGCTTTGAGGTTGGTGGGATGGCAGATCTGGAGGTACGCACGCAATGTGTGTGGCACTGCTGGGTGGCTGACACACCCTTGCTACAGCAGAGATAACCCAGGGGTTGGCTGTGTTTGCATGGGTTGTCTGGATGAATGCCGATCTGGATGGGGCTGTAACAAAGACAAGCGCCTTCTTTCCTGACATGGTTTTCACCTGTGAAATTTGCACCTGCAAAACAAACTGTAGGTGCAAATGCAAGTCTGAGTGCTTCCTGGAGCTGGAATTAAATAAAAACACTGGCGGAATGGCCTGTCTTCCATTGTGCTTTAATTTATCAGCAACTCTGTGCATTATTTTAAAGGCAAGGAGGAATATTTGGAGGTTTTAGGACTCACTCCAACACACATGCATGTGCCCATGGGTGGGTGTGAGTGGCAAAGGCAGATCTGGTCCCGCACAGCTACAGCCGCACTGTGTGCTGTCCCTTTGGTGGGAGATCCTTGTCTTGGCCAGGCCCCGGAGAGACGGTGAAGCTCCGGGAACGGAAAGCGCCTGCCCTCTGTCTTGTGGCAGAGGCAGATCTGGTCCCGCACAGCTACAGCCGCACTGTGTGCTGTCCCTTTGGTGGGAGATCCTTGTCTTGGCCAGGCCCCGGAGAGACGGTGAAGCTCCGGGAACGGAAATTCCAGACCCTCTGGGCTTCATTAGCACTCTTCAGAGCACACCGCCGCTGCGGTTCTGCAGCGTAATCCCCCCAGCCACATCCCCTGCGCCTGGGGTTTTATTACGGCTGGGAGCTGTTTTACGGCGAGATCACTCACAATAATAAAAGAAAAGCCACAACCCCTGGGAGCTGCAGCTGGTGTCCTGGAGCTGAAGTGGGGGAGGGATGCGAATGAAGCTTTGGGCAAGGTTTTCCTGAGCTCTTACCTGGGATTTGTCAGCCCAGACTCACTCTGTTTTACAGGCCGTTTCCTAGCAGTAAATTTTCTGCACCAACCCAAACCCAACCTTTTAGCAAGTTATAGGACCTCTTTGGACATGGGGGGAGGGGGCGTTGTTTATTGTTTAGTGTCACGTATTGTCGAAAAGTCAGGAGGCGGTAGAAACCAGCATGTTTATTTTGTCTCACTCCTGTTCTCCAAGGGTGATTTTCCCTTTGTTTTCTGCCAGTCTCTGTTTCTAACACATGCGTTCCCCAGGGTCTCTGAGAGCCAAGAGCCCTCAGGCCAACTCGCGAATGAATGGCAACTGTGCCGAATCTGTGTGTCCTTACAGATGCTTTCCAAGCATTCTGCAGCTATGAATTCATCTTCCTTTCACCGCTGCGAGCCGGGTGCATGTTATAGTCCTCACTGGACAGATGGGGAAACCTGAAAGGATGCAGAGTCCTGATTCCCTCCAGACCTCTATTGTGTTATCCTGTCCCATCACGGGCAGCTCCCCAAAGGCCCCAGACCGTCCATTAAAATCACCATCAAAACTCCCTTTGAGCTTCAGTGTTGCATCAGCATGGGTGTGTCTAGATTACATGCCTCCGTCGACGGAGCCATGGAGATTAGACAGATCGGCAGAGGGAAATGAAGCCGCAATTTAAATAACCGTGACAAACAGCTGATCGGCAGAGCGGGGCAGCCATTTAAATTTAAATGAAGCCGCAATTATTTAAATCGCGGCTTCATTTCCCTCTGCCCATCTGTCTCATCTACATGCCTCTGTCGACAGCTGGCAATTCCCTCTACTGTAATATCTCTCCAACTCATCTGATGAAGTGGGCTTTACCCACGGAGCTCGTGGATCCTAGTTATTCATTCGTCTCCACAGGACTGCTCGTTGCTTTGTAAAGGAGTGTGTCTCGGTAAGCCAGCCAGTACCGCTGGGATAGAAGGCAGCGCTGTTGGGGACCCAAGGCTTGGCTCACACAGGGCCTCTGTGACGGATGAGCGAATTGAACCCCCGTTTCCTGATTGCCGGGCTAATACCCCAGCCTTCAGGCCATCCTTTCTCTTTGTGGGTGGCTGGTTCCTTTGCCTCTAGATACAAGCCACCAGCTCTCTTGCTGGTGTCGCTGGTTTCAGCCAGTCTGTGTAATGGGATGTTTTGTGTCTCTACCCCACCCCTGCAGATATCGACGAGTGCCGGCTGAACAACGGTGGCTGCGACCACATCTGCAGGAACACGGTGGGCAGCTTCGAGTGCAGCTGTAAGAAAGGCTACAAGCTGCTGATCAACGAAAGGACCTGCCAAGGTAAGACCCTGCCGTGCCAGGTGGCGTGAGAGCTGCGGGCGTTGGCGCGGCGCCAGTCCCCCCGTGAGCGACGCCGTGGCGCTCAAGTGACCCAAATGGGGTTGTGCGGTGGTGCCTTCCGGCGAGGAGTTAGCCACGGAGGTATTTCTGACGCCGTGCTAAGAACGTCACCCCGGAAAACGTGGCTTTGCCTTCGCATCAAAAACGCCCCATGTCCCCAGAGCAGAGGGCCAAATTGCCATCAGCCACTGGATAGTGTTCTCAGATTGCATGTGCGTGTGGGGAGAGGGGTTTCCCGTTCTCAGATTGCACGCGCTTGTGGGGGAGGGGTTCTCCGTTGTTCTCAGTGCATGTGGCCTAGAGAGGATTCTCCATCGTTCTCACTGTGCATTTGAGCAGGTGCTGGGGAAGTTCTCCCTTGTTCTCAATGTATGTGCAATGTGGGGGGGGGTTCTCCATCCTCCTCCCTGTGGTTGTGCGTGGGAGGGATTCCCCTTGTTCTCAGTGTGCATGCAATGGGGGGGGAGTTGTCCATTGTTCTCCCTGTGGTTGTGCGTGGGAGGGATTCCCCTTGTTCTCAGTGTGCATGCGCAAGCAGGGGAGGCAGAGGGTTCTCCATGGTTTACAGTATATGTGGCACAGAGGGGATTGTCCATTGCTCTAAGTCTGCATGTGCATGGAGAGGTTCTCCACTGTTCTCAATGGGAGCTATTGGAGGCTGGGCAGATTTTTGAAAATTTGGCCCCACAGCACTCCCTGAGTCTCAGAGTTCGGGTCCTAGACTTCTCCCAGGCTTGAGGCCATGAGAGAGATTTAGTGACCCCGCAGTGAAGTCAGGTTCCTGAGCCAAACCTCTTCACGCTTCCGGGGTGTCTGGATTTTGGGCTCTGATCTGGGCCCATCTCTTGAGTCCGGGGAACTGGTCTGAAATTCCAGGGGTGGCTCTGTCCACAGTTGGCTCTTTTGTCAGCTGAGTCAAGCCACTGAGGGTGTGTCTAAACTACATGGCTCCGTCAATGGAGCCATGTAGATTAGGCTGATCGGCAGAGGGAAATGAAGCCGTGATTTAAATAATAGCTAGTTAGTTGATTCATAGGCCAGAAGGGATTGTTATGATCATCTCGGCTGACCTCCCATGTAGCACAAGCCACAGACCCTCACCAGTGGTTCCTGCAGCTGTACACACAGGGTGTGTCTAAACTACATGGCTCCGTCTATGTAGCCATGTAGATTAGGCTGATCGGCAGAGGGAAATGAAGCCACAATTTAAATGTAAATGGTTGCCGCGCTCTGCCGACAAACAGCTGATCATCAGCTGGTCGGCAGAGCGCGGCAACCATTTACATTTAAATTGTGGCTTCATTTCCCTCTGCCGATCAGCCTAATCTACATGGCTACATAGACGGAGCCATGTAGTTTAGACACACCCTGTGTGTACAGCTGCAGGAACCACTGGTGAGGGTCTGTGGCTTGTGCTACATGGGAGGTCAGCCGAGATGATCATAACAATCCCTTCTGGCCTATGAATCAACTAACTAGCTCCCGGGTGAGCCAGATAACATCTTAGAGACCACAGCTTACAACCAGCATAGGAGAGCCTGCGGGTGTTCAGTGTTAGTGCACCTTGGCATGTCTTTCTGCAGAGCGTGTGCATCCACGTACCAGCGAGATGTGTGGCTGCATGCACGCACACGCTCCCCTCAGCGAGGCTGATGATACCAGCCTAATGGCACGCTGCATCAAGGTGCCCTTCAAACCCCTGGGGACATGCGCAGCCTCATTCAGACCTGACGCACCTCCCTCTTTTTACAGACCAGGAGTATTGTTTGCTGCACAAGCCTTTTGCAGAAGACCCGGGGACTGGAGTGACACCTCAGGGGCTCTGCTACACTTGCTCTCACATACACACGCTCTCACACACACACACTCACACACACTCACTCTCACACACACTCACAACTGTACTCTAGCCATTTTCTTTTTCTGAGATCTGTTCTCCTAAGAGACAGCCCGGACTCACATGAACCTTAATGAGAATAAACAGCCTGGCCTACCCCCCTCCTGCCCTCTTCCCTGGGAGATGCCCGTAGCCAGGTGCCCCAGCTGGTAGATATGAGTACGGGTGGGGGTCTAATCTGGGGTCGTGCTGTGATCTGTAGCAGTTTGTTTTCACCCACGGAGATGAGGCAGGGACTGGCTGGGTGACCATGGAAGGGTCCAATCCCAGTCCCTACAGACCATTTCTGCTGCTGCTTTTAGCTTCCTCCATGCTCGTTGTACTTGACCTTCCAGGGAGCATAGAAAGGAGATGTTGTGTTCACTGCTATTTAGAACAGGGGAGCAGGAGCCAGGCCCCTGGGTTCTCTAGTCCTAGCTCTGTCGTGGGCTCACCTCCCTCTGTTTCAATAAATGGAATCCTCTTTACCCCTCTCCCTGGCTGAGGGAGAGCGGTGCCTTGCGATCCCCCTCTGAAGGGCCCAATGGACATGCAAAGGATTAGCCAGCTGAGGCCCCGTAGCTCATCTCAGGTGTGAACAAGACCGGCCTTGAGATGAAGGGGGTGAGGGGAGGGGTATCTGCCTCCCTTGCGATGCCACGGTTCCCAGGCCTTTCCTGAATCAGCTTGTGGGCCTTTCATTGCGGCGTTCGCGTCAGAAGCCGTGATGTGCTGGGGTTTGACAGAGCGTCCTGTTGCCAGCCGAGTGCACAGGCCCTGGCCTGGGGGGTGGAGGGAGGTAGTAGAGGGCCAGTGGGCCTTTGGTGGCACCTCTTGCATCTGCCTCCAGGCTCTGCATTCTTGGAAGTTTGGTCTGATCGTGGCAATGACGCTAACAAGTCCAATGCCACAGACATAAAGCTGGCAGGCTGGGTTCGCCTCCTCAGGCTGTGTCTCCCTCTGCCCCCCCAGGGCAGAGCATGTGATGCTGGCTCCTATCTTGGAGGGGCTCTGCCAAGGGAGTGCAGCTTTGGTTGCCAACTGGGCAGGTGGGGGACGCGCTGGATCACAACATGTCCCTGGACCCACGGCACTGGGAAGCTTGCAGCTGCTTTCACCCCCTCCATCCCACCCTTTCCATTCCAGCCCAGCGCCCTGGGATGTAGCCCTTGGTCTTGCAAAGTATCTCTGCCCTAGGGTACAGGCTGGGCTCTGGGCGGGAGATGGGGAAACGGGGGACCATGCACGGTGGTGCTCTGTCGCCCTCTAGTGGAGGCTGGGCTGTAAGCTGAGGTGTATGACAGGGATGGGACTTTTAGCTCCAGCTGCAGTAGAGACTCCTGCTGAGAGATCTCAGGTTTGCTGCCGACAGCCCACCCAGGGGTGCAGCTTTGCATAAGGCCTAGGGAGGCTCGGCATGGTAGTGGGGCTGGGAACGGGCTGTGCTCTTGGGTGCTCCTAAACTATGCAGGGTAAAGGAGCAGATGTTGGCATAGGTCCCATTCCCTGCTGGGCTTTGGACTTTGGACACCTCTCCGGTGCAGCGGAGAGAGTGGTGCATGGGCCTACATGGCAGTGATGCTGGTTTCACTCTTTCTGGGTGACACGGGACATGGGTGGGAGAAGCCAGCCAAGCCCCAGGACTCGAGACCCCACCCCGTGGAGCCAGCCCCCTGCTTGGGCCAGTCCTCACACTCTCTGCCTTTCCCTCTTCCTCCCAGATATTGACGAGTGCTCCTTCGACAGGACCTGTGACCACATCTGCGTCAACACCCCCGGGAGCTTTCAGTGCCTGTGTCACAAAGGCTACACGCTGTACGGACTCGCCCACTGTGGAGGTAGGGCAGAACTGACTGGGGGAGGGGAAATCTCTAGCCATCCCAGGCCCGTACGCAGGAATTTTGGTGGGGGGAGGAGGGGTTTGCTTTTTTTGTAAATCTGGAACGCAGATCGCTGCGCCTCTGCATTTTAACTGTAGGAAAAGCCCGGCAGCTCTTACTGCATTTGAAGTGCAGAGCTGCAGCACAGGTGTCGTCTGGCGCCGGCACGAATCAGGACTGCTCAGAACCGGCTCCTGGAGCTACCCCTGCCACGGCTGCAGAGCGACCCTTATCCACTAATTGTATAGCCGATACGATTTGTATCGACTATACGACTTGCCTGAAAACTGCTTTTTAACATAGTCCTGGCTCATCTGCACTGTGCCATGCTTCACTGATAGCGCAGGCTAACGCTTTCCCACGGCACCACTCTGTGCTTCCTCTTTAAATCCTTCAGCCTTATGCCCCCCCAGCTCATCACAAACATTCAGAGTGGGGCACCCCCTTCCCACCCAGTCGAAACAGTGGCCACAAAAATAACTTCTGATATTTTTCACTTTTGAATGTTTCTTCCCGTCCGTGAGTTTCCATCGGAGGATAATGCCCAGCAGTCACCCTGATCTGCAGTGTGGTCAAATTGGGGAGCAGCACCATAGCCCCTTAACAGCCCTTCACATGGGCCATCCCTAATCCAGGAACTAACCCTAACCCTTCCCCGGCCGGCCGGAGCATGGGGGAGGGAGGCTGGAAGCTTTCCCCAGCTGGTCGGAATCAGCCCCATGGAGGACCATGGCGGGGGGTGCATTCACACCCGTCACACACCCCTTGCGTACAGGCCTGCATCTCTTCCTTGAATCCCACCCTGGGCTATTTTTTTTGCCTCCCGCTGCCCTGTGCTAGGTTTCTCCTTTAGGGATCAGCCAGATCTGTTGACCTGGCACAAGTTGGTCAAACATCAAGGAAGTCACTGAAGCTGGGGGTTGTGTGTGGTGCACATTGGCATCTGCCTCAGGGCACATAAACATTATTCTGCACATGGATGGAAAAGAGCAGAGGGAGCACTGGCTGGGAGTCCCATTACTTGGACTACCTAAGGCTAGACTGGACCAGTTGCCAGAGAAGAGATTGTGTGGAACATTCTTGCTTTGTTTCCGGCTGTCAGGGGAGGGGCTGGGCTAGATGGAGCCCGGTTGGGTTTTCCCAGCTGTGACGCGCCATTTAGAATGGTTGGCCTGTGGAACTCACTGTTCCAGGAGCTGAGGATTCAGAGAAGGAAATGGACAGAGGTTAAAAAGAACAAGGGATGTAAAGCTCCCTGGGCCAGGGAGAAGCCAGTCTCCAGCTCTCAAGACACAGGAAGACACTTCCCTCAGAACTGCTCACATGAGTGTTTCTTGCACTTCACGTGGGGCTGTCAGAGATGACATCCAGGACTAGATCGATCGACCTGGCCTGACCGTTCCTGTGCTCCTAACATGGGGCAAATCTCCTGCTACCCAGCAGGAGACGGGAGCCATGTGTGTAGGGAGGGGGGCTATGCCAGCTCTGGCAATGGAGGCTAGCATGCAGGTGTTCAGAAAGGGTTGGGTGAGCCATGAAAGGGACTTGAGGCAGAGGGACCTCTGCAGTGCTCCTCTCTGGAATAGCAGAGTGCCTAGTGTCCCAATGTGGCATCTTTCCTGACTATTCCAAGGGCTTCTCCCCTTCGGATTGAAAAATGGGTCCAGTGCCTGGTACTACTGGTGCTAATACCCAGTAGCCTCTCTGTACTGCCAGTGGCCACGTTTGCGTTCCTCTGTATGCAGCAAGAGGAGAGGGGGTTCTCTCATTCTGATCATCCCCCTGAGTGGGTGCAGGAGCCAGACAGTAGTGTCTGCAACTTCAAACAAAGCGATTTGTGACTTGTCCGCGGAGGGAGAGAGGGGAAAACTCCCCAGAGTTCTTGGCACAACGTTAAGGAAGAGGGGGGTTACTTCAAAAGGTTTTGAGTTGAGTTTCCCGAATCAGATAATTCCCGCGCACAAGAGCGCCTGGAGGAACGGCAGAAAAGATGAAAAGCGCAGAGCTCTTTGTTCAGGCATGTCACAGCAACAGTGCGGTTTGCAGCAGGAGTTTTCAGGAGGAGTTACATGTGTTGAGGTACCGCAGATTACTTGGCTTAAGACAGACGCAGAAGCACAAAGAAGCACATGCAACAGGTACCTGCATGGACCACTGCAAAGATATGCCTATAAACTAGGGATGTAAGTGACTAGTTGACTATCGGATAAGCGTAAGCTTATTGGATAGTCGACTAGTCCCTCAGCTAGCCACTTCTCCCACCCGTCCTTGCTGCAGAGGCAGCAAGGGAGAGCAGCAGGAGCTGGTGCTGGGGGGATCCGGCTTAAAAGCCGTTCCCCCCCCAACCCCATCTCTGTGGGGGGCAGGGAAGGCAGAGGGGTAGTGGGGACCTGGCGCGAGCTGCCCACCAGCCTTTTAAGGCTACCGGCTCTTAATACATTGAAAAAGCAGAAGCACAGCGAGGGGGAAGGCGTGAGCCAGGAATCAGCCAATGTCCCAGCTCTTAATACATTGAAAAGGCAGAGCCACAGCGGGGTTAGCTCCTGGGGCGGGAGCTAACCCCGCTGCGGCTCCCCCGCTTATCGACTAACGGACTAGTTGAGGGAAATTTCATCGATGAGTTGATTAAACTAAATTTAACATCCCTTCTGTAAACCCCTGGGACTCCGTGGCAGCCTGCGATGGCAGGGGACAGCACTCGATGACGTAGGAAGTCCCTTTCCGACACGTGTAGCCGCAGTCCAATGGCCAAACGGAGACTGCGCCTCCCACAGCCGGCTGAGACGAGCGCCCACCCAGGGGCGTATTCTCAGCCGGTGTAAACTGCTGCAGCGCCATTGACTTCCATGGAGTCAGTGCACACACAGTTCAGTTCAATGTGACTTGGTTGGCATAGCAGGCTGGACTAGTGGTGTGTCACTCCCATATGTGAATGTGCAGTGAAACCTGTGCCCAGGAGCCCTCCTGATAAATGCCTTGTCCCTGTCTGCCCCACAGAGTCCTGGCTCCACGGAGGTCTGTAGGAGGGTTGCTTTTCACTTTTCACCCACTGAATTCAGCTCTGCTCCATCTCCATCATGTTTATACAGCCAGTCAGCCCTTGCCGTGGTTGAGTCAGACTGATTTCATGCCCACTTGCATGCAGACACAAACACTCAAGTGTGTCAACACAGACAGGCAGCCCCGCTCAGCCACGAGCACTGGATCACAGTATGTGCTAAACACGCTGGACGGGGTGGTTGGTTTGGAAGTGCCGCCCCTCCCAGGGGGACCCGAAGAGCTCCTTGAGGGAGGAGGTTTATAAAGCATCTCATAAAGCCCTGGGCTGTCTTAAACCGCCTGTTGGCTGCGGTTTGCAGCGAGAGGGGCAGGAGGCCGGGAAGAGCTCTTGGTTTGTGTCACAGTATGCAGGAATACACACGGTACTGGGCTCAGGACAGGGCTAATGAGGTGGATTTCTCTGATACAGGAGGTCAGACTAGGTGAGCAAATGGTCCCTTCCGGCCTTAGGTTTGATGAATCAATGAATGTGGGGGTGGCTGAAACAGACGAGAAACTGGCAGACGGACTCCATCCAGGCTGCAAAGCGGGTGTTGAGTGCAGAACTGCTCAGTGGAATCTAGTGTCTGTCTTCCGACGTCTGGCTGCTCTCCCATCCCAGCAGTGTGTCCGGTGTTCCCACCGGCAGAGAGGTGTCACACTGAAAACCAAAAGAAAACCCTCTCCAGCATTTCGGGGGCAATCTGGACGCAGGGTCTGGTCCCTCTGAGCCAAGTGTGTGTCACCTGTTTGAATACTCGGGGGGCGAAGGGGGAGCCACGTGGAAATTCCAGCTGATGGGGAACTGTGGCTGCTCAGTGAGAAAACCACCAAGGACACAGCCTGGGAGCAGGGTGGTGACTCTGAGTCACTCCCGAACCCACCGTCCCCGCTAAGGAGCTGCACAGGCTGCTGTCAGGGAGGAGCTACTGTGGTTTGGAATAAGAAATGAAACCAAGGCCCTTCAGCCCATGACAGACCTCTCCACCATTACCACTTATGTCAAGAGACAACGTGAAGACAGATCCGGTAGCTGACTGACCCACAGGGCGGTGGGAAGGAATTTCTGCATTGTCACACAGCTCTTGCTTGTCAGCAGTGGGTGGCATGAGTCCTACTGAGATCAGCCTGTTTGGGCCATCAAAAGATCTTCCCTGGCCCCCCGGAAAGGAAAGGCAAAGCAGCCCCCCTGCCATCCACTCCGCAGCTCCTCAAGCTATTGGCAAGGTGGGATTGGGAGAGAAAAGTCAGGTGCACCTTGACAGTGCCTGTGGGCGGGACTGTAACTCTCTTACTGGCTTGGACCCCAAATGGGAGCTTAGAGGTGGGAGCATAAGAACGGCCAGACTGGGTCAGACCAAAGGTCCATCCAGCCCAGTATCCTGTCTGCCGACAGTGGCCAATTTCAGATGCCCCAGAGGGAAGGATCATAATGTAACCTTCACATGAGCCCTACCTTGTCACCACCTCCAGACAAACAGAGGCTAGGGACACCATTCCTCCCCATCCTGGCAACTAGCCAGTGATGGACCTAACCTCCATCAATCTATCTAGCTCTTTTTGAACCTTGTTAAAGTTCTAGTCTTCACTGCATCCTCTGGCAAGGAGTTCCACAGGTTGTGCACTGAGTAAAGAAAAACTTCCTTTTGGTTGTTTTAAACCTGCTGCCTATTAATTTCATTTGGTGACCCCTAGTTCTTTTATTGTGGGAATAAGTAAATAATTTTTCCTTATTCACTTTTTCCACACCAGTCATGATTTTATAGACCTCTGTCATATCCCCCTTTAGTCTCCTCTTTTCTAAACTGAAAAGTCCCAGTCTTTTTAATCTCTCCTCATAGGGGACCCATTCCAAACCCCTAATCATTTTGTTGCCCTTTTCTGCACCTTTTCCAATGCCAATATATCTTTTTTGAGATGAGGTGACCACATCTGTATGCAGTATTCAAGATGTGGGCGTACCATGGATTTGTATAGAGGCAATAAGATATTTTCTGTCTTATTCTCTATCCCTTTTTTAATGACTCCTAACAGTCTGTTTGCTTTTTTGACTGCCGCTGCACACTGAGTGGGTGTTTTCAGAGAACTATTCACATGACTCCAAGATCTCTCTCTTGAGTAGTAGTAGCCAAATTAGTCCCCATCACATTGTATGTATTGTCCCTTCTCCCCATCTCTGGTCTGCCTTTCCCATCTAGCTGTTCAGTCTTCACTCGCTCCCCAGCAGCATTGCCAGGGAATCCCAGCACTGGGGAGTGCTGTCCTTAGAGAGTGGGGTCATACTGGGAGGCGGGTTCAGGAGAGCAGGACCCCACAAACCAGGCCTGGAGCTCTTCCCCTGTTGGGAAGGAGCTGCCTGGGGTTTGTGATCCCTGCATGGGGTGCTCTGCAAGCCCAGCACTGCTCACAGGTGGTCCATGTGTCTGTGCGCCCTGTTGGGGGAGGGACATGCTGGCAGGGGGGGTGCCGTGGAGGGGCCTCGCTGGCAGCCACCTATAGAACTCCTCTGCTAAAGGTTTCCATGTGTGCCCAGCCTGCCACCCCCCATTGCTCTGCCCCCCACATTGGGGGGCTTTACTGGACTGAGGAGGCAGGTGGGACCCTTCACCAGCCTGTGTGGACCATCCACACCACAGGGCAGGGGGTGGCACCACTCTGCACCTTCATTTCCCCCAGCTGATCCTTCCCCACCCCCATCACCTGTGCCCGGTGGGTGGCTGATGCCATGGCCTGGGACTGGGGGTGATGCATTCCCTGAGCACCTGCAACGAGCCTGGGGAAAGCCAGCAGCACTGTGCCAATGTGCCTGCCCTGCCCCCACAATTACAGGCCACATTGAAAATGGAGCTTTTAGTGATTTGCTCTGGCATGACTCAGAGGCAGAGCCAGGATTAGAACCCGCGAGGCTTGGCTGCCAACCTCCCCCACCTGCCCTTTCTCCTGGGACACTCCACAGGTGGGGCTGGAACCCAGGAGCCCGGCCTCCTTCCCTCCCCCACCTATGGTCACCTCCAACAGGCAAACTCGCCTCTGCGTGCTTTGTGCAGCATGGCTATCCCAGTCCACCCCCACCCTCTCGCTTTGCCCCTTGCAGACATCGACGAATGCAGCATCAACCGAGGAGGCTGCAAGTTCGGCTGTATGAACACGGCTGGCAGCTACGAGTGTACCTGTCCTGCCGGCTGCAAACTGCACTGGAACAAAAAGGATTGCATAGGTGGGTAGAGGAACCCAGAGGCCTCATGCTGCCATCTAGCGGGCGAACACAGGTCAGCCAGCAGCACGTGGACAGATCTGCAGTTTCTGTTCAGGCGCTTTGGTGGATAGGTGTACCGGTGGGTGTTGCTGCGAGTGTGTGGGAGTCGGTACAGCAGAAAAAGCACTGCTTATGGGTTGCGTCTGGCCACGGGGTGTGCCTTGACCGTGCACCTGGGCATACAGCGCCCTCTCTTGGTCTGAGCACCACGCCAGCTGGACACTTGGTCTTGGCCAAGAGCCGGGCCTTTCAGCAGAAACATGGTCCTGTCTGCCTTTGGCCACACCCTGAGGCTGCTAGCACAGGAAGCCAGATGGTGCTGCCTGTCGGGGCATCTCGGGATCAGGGTAACCAAGGCCCAGGGTGTCAGGAGATGGTGGAGGGGGCAGGCTTCCTGGTGAAACTCACTCCAGTAGCCATTTGTCTCCCCACATCTCTCTGTAAGTAGCGGCAGATTAGTCAATGGGGCCCATGACCCCGAGCCCTGGCCAACTGAGGGGCCCCAGAAAAATGGGCACATCCCGACCTGCTCCACCTGCCTGGCTCTCCTGCTGGGGAATGAGGTCATGGTGAGGGGACTTAGCCCATTCTGCCCACCCTCCTGGCACTCCTGCTGAGTGCCAGGTGGGCAGGCAGGGTAGGGCAAGCCCCCACTTGCCCTTTCTCCAGCAAGGATGGGGGGGACTGCAGGCCCCCCACTTGCACAGGGCCCAACAAAACCCTAACCCGCCCAGGACTGTAAGGATCCCAAAAGGAAGCGATGGGCCATTCCCTCGCTGTCTTGCCCACCAATGAGGCCTAATTTCCGACCCATTCGTTTTGATTCATTGACCTTTCGGTCTCACAGTGCTGTTTATCAGGCGTGGTCCTTGAGCAAGAGCAAGGAGCCTTTTTGTTTGTCTGCCTCCCTCGGGCCACTTTTCCTACCAATGACTGATAATAGGAGCTTCAGGGGGTAGCCGAGTTCATCTGTCACAGAAAAAAGCAACACATGGTCTGGTCGCACTTTACAGACTCACAAAACATGGAGATGGGATCATGAGCTTTCGTGGGCACAGCCCACTTCCTCAGATGACTCCTCTCAGGATCCCATCTCCGTGTTTTGTGAGTCTGTAAAGTGCTTCCAGACCATGTGTTGCTTTTTGATGATAATTAATAGGGTATCGTGTATGAAGTTCCACTTACCTTATACAGCTGTGCCCACTATCATGAAGTCATGGGGGCCGACAGAATTGCTGGGCCCCTGAGCAAGATGCGGGGGGGAGGGAGCCCTCTGTGCTGCCTGGACCCCACTGCGCTCCCCTGCCAGCCAGAGCTGCCTGGACCGCACCACCTAGGGCTCCAGCAATGATATAAAGGGCCCTGGTTTCCATCTGCCGCCAGGAGCCTCCAGGCCCTATTGAATTGCTGGGCCCCAGGGCACTTGTCCCCTTTGTCTCCCCCACCCCTCGTCAGCAGGCCTATTGTAACTCCACCCCCCCAGTACCTGGAGCAGCGCTTGCTCAGCTGGTCATCCCTGAGTCACTCTTGTCACTGCCTGGCGCTTGTCTTTCAGAGCTGGTGAAATGCCTGTCAGGCCCCATGTCTCACCGGGCCATGCTCACCTGCAACAGGAACGGCAAGAAGGACAGCTGCTCCCTCACCTGCACCTCCAAGGCCCGCTTCCTGCCAGGTGCCAACTTGTGCTCACCACCTCCGTCCTGAAGCCTGCCGGGGGCTCTGGCCTTCTGAATGCCTTCCGTCCCAAAGGGCTTTACAGATGTGGGTTTATCCTGCCCGTTCCTATGGTGGCTGCTGTTCAGTGCCCACAATACATCAGTGCCATGGCTGGGAGACTTCGCAGCCCCCGTTCTCCCCCATGCATGATACATGCTTCCTCTCGGACTCCCAGCTCTCCCCGTCGCCTGGGCCTCCCTCTCCCTTTGCAGGACTGGACTCCCTTCACCGGAGCTGGCCTGGCAGGGATATCTTAGGTGGGGCGAGGGAGGGGGGGTTACACAGGATCTCAGGTGTTGCACTTGGATGACCCCACCAAACGGCTGAGCAGGGCCCTCGTTTTTCCTGAAGCCACCCTCAGCTTGTGCTAGCGACGAGCCAGTCTAGTCCAAAGCTTCAAAAGCTGGGGTCAGATCATCATCCAAAGCGCATGTGAACTGCTGAGGGCCTGACTTCCCTGGGCGATGCAGCCAGTTTGAAAACGAGGTTGGGAGCAAGCCGCAGGCTCTGTCTGAATCTCTCCTTTCTCCCCCTCCTAGAGTCTGACAGCAGCTACACAGTAAGCTGTGGGACCCCCGTCCTGCGCCAGGGGGGGCCCCAGAGGCCTGGCAACAGCAGTCATCACTGTGTCGGTAAGGTCGCTCTCCTGGGCTGGTCCGAACCTCTCCAGCCTCCCCCGCTGCTATCGTGGGAAGCTCAACCGGTGCCTTCGATGTTTAGCACCTGCCTTTTCTTTTAGAGACTGTCGCTGCGCCAATCAAACAAAAGGCTTCCTTCAAGCTCAAGGACGCCAAGTGCCACCTGCACCCCCGTGTGAAAGGGAAACCGGACGAGTCAGGGAAGCACGGGGCCACAGGTGAAGCACACACACGCACACCCGAGCTGCCATGTAAGCTCTTCTGTGGCTGTGTGGAAGGGGGTGACTGACCACCCGGGGCTGGGATTTCCAGGGGAGCTGTGGGCAGGATGCTGACTCTCTGTCCCCCTCTTCCAGGTGGGGCAGCCCCCTGCTCGGATTGTCAGGTGACCTTTGTGAACCTCAAGTGTGACTCCTCAAAGAAGGGCAAAGGCCGCCGGGCCCGCAACTCCCCCAACAAGGAGGTGACGCGCATCACCCTGGAGTTTGAGGCAGAAATCAAGCCAGAAGAGGTCACAGGTGGGGGCCAGGGCCAGGGCCAGGAGGACGGGTTTTCCTGTTGTGCACTGGGCCTGAGGAGAGCCCTTGTCGGGGGAATGGGCCTGGGTGGACTGGTGTTCCCAGAGTGCACTGGGCCTGAGGAGACCACGGGTAGATCTGGGGTGGCTGTTAGGCCCAAGCACGTGCCATGGGGTGAGAAGCCTGGCTGTCCCAGAATGCACTGAGAAGGAACTCTGGCTGTCCCAGTGTGCACCCCTGGCAATTTGGAAGGAGCAGACAGCTCTCCATTAACATCTGCCTTGTGCTGTTAATTACCCGCACGGCTCTCCAGGCAGCATGGTCCATGGCCTGTGCGAAGAGCTTGGTGGTTCTCAGACCAGATTCTCCTGGGCACAAAACCCACCATCCCAGCATGGCCTGGCAGCCCCCTCGCTGGCAGTCTGGCCACTGGTGAAGGATTGAATAAGACCATGAAAACTGAACCCCACCAGCATCTCTAGAAGGGGCTTCTCCAAGACATGGATGAAGCATGCTGATGGGGGGAGGGGAGAATTTGTCCTGCTGCTCCTGGTGTTCCGGGTTGTAGCTCTCTAAACTGGAACTCTTTGGTCTGGAAACAGCCGTGGTGTGGACCAGGGCGGCTGGGAGCCCAGTGGGATCAGACCAGATCAGGCAGCCCGGGCCGAAGCTGGGAGCCCACGGGGCTGGCATCCGACAGCCTGTGGCAGCAGAGCCAGGAGCCTGCAGCAGCTTGGGCCAGCATCTGGCCATCCATAGCAGGGGGAACCAGTAGCCTGTGGCAGCCTCAACCCATGGCAGCAGGACTGGAAGCCAGCAGCAGTGGGGCAGGCACCCGGCAGCCCCAGCCAGGGCTAGAGCCTGCGTTAGCCCTGGCTGGTGCCCAGCAGCTCGCCATAGCGGGGCGGGAGACTGTGGCAGCCCATGGTGGCAGGGATGGCAGCCAGTGGCAGGAGTGCTGGGAGACTGGAGCAGTCCTAGCCAGGTGGTAGGGGATTCTGGGCTGGCCAGGGCTGGCTGCCCAGCTGGGCCAGAGACAGGGAAGCTGGCTGGGCTGGAAGTGGAGCTGGCAATGGGGAGGGTTGGTGGGCTGGTGCCAGGGGACCTCCCTTGGTCCAGCAAATTTCCGGTCAGGTCCCCAGGGTGCCATCCCAGGGAGGTCCAACCCGTAGCTCTAGTTCTCTAGCCAGGTGTATGGGGTGCAGCGCCCCCTGCTGTCCACAGTGCTGCTTTAACAGTTACAGCCACAGCCCTCCCCGGTGCAGTGATGGGCAGGAGAAGAGGAGGGAGACGGGCAGGGATGTATAGTCACCCCCCACGTGCAGAAACGCAGAGGAGGGCAGCAGCCTGGGCTCGGGCATGGGGGGATGGGAGGAGTGTTCAGGAGGAAACTCCGATCTTCAGACCCCTTTGCTGTTTGAGTGACCCCCCACTCCCCGTCCGTCCCACTGACACCTGACGGAAGACACTCTGGCCTGCCCCTCCCCCCATCTCTGACCTCCAGCCAGCTGCAATATCAATTGCCTGCGGCAGAGGGTGGAGAAGAAGCTGAAGGCGGCGATCAAGGCCCTGAAGAAGTCCATAAACCAGGAGCGGTTCCTGATCCGCTTCGCGGGCCTGGAGTACGAGGTGGCGCGGAAGCTCAGCGTGGCCCCGGAGAGGCAGGAGAGCTGCGGGCCAGGGCAGCAGAGGCTAGGATCCAAGTGTGGTAAGGGAACAACCGCGGCCGGGGACCTGGGGCCACGGGCCCGTTGACCTGTAGGCCCCTAGGGCCGAACTGCGCCTCCCACGCGCCATGGCTTCCGTAACGAGGGCTCCTGGCAGCAGCATGTGCTGTGGGCAGGTGAGGTTCCCGTGGGCTCGCACTTTGGAGGCGCTGACTTGCCAGTGCGAGGAGCGGGGGCCCTGAGGGTCTCTCGTCTGCAGCCAAACAAGGCATGTTAAGGGGTAGCCTGGTGGGAATTCTCGCTACGCGTGTCCCTAACGGGCCTCCCTCTTTCTTAGTTAGCTGCCTGCAGGGAACGTACTACCATGGGCAGATGGAGCAGTGTGTCCCTTGCCCCCCAGGGACCTACCAGGAGAAAGAGGGCCAGCTCTCTTGTGACCTATGCCCCGGAAGCGATGCATACGGCCCGGCCGGGGCAACGAACATAACCACCTGTGCAGGTACGGCGTGGGGCGGGGCGGCGCCTGGGCGGGGCCCCCCGGGGGGGC